TAAGCCCAGGCAAGGCAAGGAGGCAAGCAGGTGCCTCGTCTGGCCCTGGCCAGGCATGCCCAGCTGTGCTCCTGCATGCAAGTGTGCCCACATGCCACACTTTTGTGGCCAGCCCAGTCACTGCACGCTTCGCCTCTCCTGGCCCCGGAAGGGAGCCGAGGGTGGGGAGGCTACCCCTGGTATGGTGACACGGAAAGGGGCACTGGGTCTCCACAGGGAAGGGCTGCCCTTGTGTGTGTGTGTGGGGAGGGAAACTCGCCCCATTTAATTAGCTGGTGCCCCCCTGGCACCCTCACAAAAAAATCCCTAGCTACGGGGCTGGCCCTGGCCGAGAACAGCTGGATGTCTTTGGGGCCAGGGATCACCGGCAAGTTACCCAAGGAGCGTAGTGTTCTCCTGGGGATGTAACAGAGGAGGTGGTCCTGTAGATGTGGTAACACTTTTGCATCTGTGATGTCTGCAAAGAGATAAATGCTTTAAGTCTCTTGTAGCAACATGAAAGTCCTGTGGCACCTTCAGTATTAAGAACATTTATTTTGATACAGGCTTTCATGAGTCACAGCGCGCTTCTCCAGGTCGGAGGAGATCAAACGGAGAATGCTACTTAAGGGAAAGTGGGGAAGGCGTTGTTAAGGGCAGAAGGTGAATTTCATCATATGTCTTTCAAGCGCAGAGCTGTGGGGGGGGGGGAAAGAGGCAGGAAGGTGTGAATCCCTCCCCCCAAAATCTTCTCCCTTTGAAATCTGTGTGTCTGAAACAGAATTCGCAGTTACAGATAATGGATGATAAAGCAGCTACAAATAACGGACGACGAGAAATGTCAGTTTTGAACAGATAACCAAGGCAGTAAGTTTAAAACCTTATTATTTCTTATTTATTTATACCCTGCGTTTCTCCCCGGACCATCCTCACAACAACCCTGTGAGGCATGGCAAGTTGAGAGGGTGCTATGGTCCCAGCAAGCTTTGATGGCGGAAGTGGAGATATCCAAACCTGGGTTCCCCAGATCCTGGTCTGACACCCTAACACTAGGCCACGCTGGCATATATCCAATGGGCATTTGTGCTGATTTCTCTCTTCCCACTGGGGACTCCTGAATTAGGCCCATTGGTACTGGGGGGGGGGTGCCCCGGAACCACGGGGACAGAATTTTATGGGGCAAGGTTGGCTACAGGAGGGAACGACAGATGAGGGAAACTTCCGTTTTGCAAGTCTAAGCAGTGCCTGCAGTTATGAGAAGAGGAGGAGGAGGAGCCTGGATTTATACCCCGCCCTTCACTTGGAGTCTCAGAGCAGTTTACAAACTCCTTTCCCTTCCCCTCCCCACAACAGACACCCTGGGAGGTAGGTGGGGCTGAGAGAGCTCTGACAGAAACTGCTCTTTTTCAAGGAGAGCTGTGCCACAGGTTGTGACTGACCCAAGGTCACATCAGCAGGTGCAAGTGGAGGAGTGGGGAATCAAACCCGGTTCTCCCAGATTAGAGTCCGCACACTTAACCACTACACCAAACATAATTCTTTTTGGACACCAGTATTCACTTACCGTGTTGCTTTTGGAGTTTTAAAAATCAGTATTTGCAAATGCAAACTTATTTTAAATGTATAGAAAAACAGGAATGACACCACTTCCTGGACTGACCTCATCAATTCTTTCCCCTCTCAACAAATGTAGCGCGGAGCCATCTGCTGGCGGCAGAAACCGCAAACGTTTTGTTCACCTGGCCCCCAGGACAGTCTTCTGTCCTGAATACAGTTTCAAAAAGCATTTTATCAAGTGCCACTTATCTATCAGGTGCTGTGCTTCTGAAGCACTGCGGTAGCTAACTAGCCCACACTGAGATACCTGCCAACTGGCAGAGTTTAGTGCCATGATGACGGCTTCATGTTTCTGAAGCAATATTCAGAGATGGGTCGTGTGTTGTCATGGTGAGGTATCCAATACAAAAGTAAACAGACACAATTCTAGAAGCCTTAACTTCTGAAATCTTGCTCTTTCAGGATGCCTTCATGAACTGTATTGCAGCAATCTCATTTGATGCATACCATTCAGGAGGGAAGACGACCCCAGTTGTACCGTCAAAACTACACAGACACTATGAGGCAAGGTAAAGCAGGGGAGAATTCATGCTAAACAAAGGATAGCTAGATTCGAGTCCAGTAACACCTTAAGGGACTTACACGATTTTGGGGTCGATCCAGGTGGGTAGCCGTGTTGGTCTGAAGCAGTAGAACAAAACTTTGTTGGTCTTAAAAGTGCCACCGGACTCAGACTTTGTTCTAAGATTTTGGGGGTGTGAGCTTCCGAGGGTCAAAGCTCCCTTCATCGGTTGTTGGTCTCTAAGGTGCAGACTGTTTTTACTCAGGTCATTTCCTGCAGGAGCGCACAGGAGCAGAGCTCCGGCAGTAAAGAGCCCAGGAGGTGGGCACATGCAACAAGCCCCGCCCCTTGCTCCCAGCAGCCCTCAGTCAGAGCAAGAAGCAGCCAGGTAAGTTGCAGAGCCCCCCCAGCCCCCCGGTCCAAAGCAGTCCAGTGGCACCTTTAAGACCAAGTTTTATTCAGGTACAAGCTCTCCCTCCTCTGCGAGGACAGATATGTACTTCCCTCCCCCCAATAGCTAGCAGTCCAAAGCAGTCCAGTGGAGCCTGCGCGGTGGGTGTTGCCTTCTGACACACTTCCAGTGATGTCAGGGGGTGTGGCATATGCAAATGAGTTATGCTAATGAGCTCCTGCACCTCTTTTTCTACAAAATGACCCCTGGTTTTACTGCAGACCAACACAGCTATACTCTGTAACTATCTAGAGAGGATGTTTTCCTGGCCGTGTAAATACTGTCCTTGTTGCTTTACTCATACAATGCCATCAATGCCCAAGATCTCTGCCCGGGTGAGCTGATACTCTAGAATAATTGGGGGAAGGGGAACCAGAGAGGGAAGGGATGGGATAGGCAAAGGTCACAAAAGGCAGAGGCAAATAAATGTACTTGCATTGCATTGCAGCTGGTGAAGACTGGGGGCACTAAGCAAAGCCTTTGTGGAGCTGAAGACCGTTGATGGACATTCTGCACAACTGACAGCAACCCCAGCAAACTAGGCTCTGGAAATATTTGGAAGCTGTTATGTTGTCAAGAGGGGACTTGGGTGCCAGGGAAACTGAGCCTCTGCATCACTGCCAGGGGGTGTAGTGACTGAGAAACTGAGCTACAAATCAAGACGTCCAGAGTTTGAATCTCACCCCTGCCACAGGTTCACTAAGTACGGTAGTCTCTTAGCATCAGCTCTACCCTGACCTTTGATACGGAGGTAATTCGAAAGCACCATATAAATGTCAAGACTGTTACTATATTGAAGAGACAATGAGCTCAGCTGCATTATCTGGCATAGATAATGTTAACTCCCACAGTTAAAGCACTTGCAAGATTTTATTGTGTCACAATAATTTATTTCAACAATGATTACTGTAAAGGAAGCAAAGGCATATTTGCATCAGATACAAAGACCCTTATATGCCAACAGGAACAAAAATACAAAAGGGTCAAGCCACTGTTCAATAGGTAGCGGAAATATGGAAGATGGCACAGGAAGAAGTGATTTGCTCTTCAACAGAAGTCACTGACAAAATTTTAATCCATAAAACAAGTCCTGCATCTTTTAAAAAATATATAATTATGCTACCAATTAGTCTCATATTATCTTTCTATAAATAATATTTAGAAACCTACTGAAAAGCAGAATAAACCTGACCTGGAAACAAAGGACCCCGTGTAGTCAAAGTCATACATTCTGGGGGAAAGACTCCTGCCTAATTTCCCAACCAGCCTCGCATAGTATTGAGAAAAGGATCTAAGTGCCTTATCAGGATTTTTAGATTTGTCTTTTATATATTAACAGCTTGTTTATGTGCTGATATTTAGGCGATCAGACATGGGGTGTATCTCCTTGCAGCTGTTTCTTAACTTCATGATTAAAGGCTTCTGCTGAAACAACAACAGGCCAATATCCTGCTGAAATGGCAGCCTGATGTCAAGTTCTACTTCTTCAATATTATTCTATTTTTAAAGTATCAATTTACTTTTTGAAGTTGTAGTCATACTTCAGCCTTTCAAAAAAAATGTAGTGGAATATCAGCTTCCCTGTTCAGACTTACCATAATTTTTGTAATGTGGGTGTCATGCTCTAATCTAATCTATGCACATTTTAGCAGAAATGTATTTTTAATATAATACACATATTTTTGTTATTTTTCATGAACTAGATTTGAGGTCCCCTTTAGCCCTTCATTTTCATTTGGCTAGTTTTTGTTAGTGGTAACAACAACAACACATATTTTGAGATGGGTAGCTGTGTTTGTCTGTGGCAGTAGAAAAGAGTAAGAGTCCAGTAGCTCCTTAAAGACTAACAAAATCTGAAGTGATCTTTGAAAGCTACCTACCAACATTTTTTGTTAGTTTTTAAGGTGCTACTGGACTCCTACCCTATTCTAGTAACACATACTTTGTCTTTGATATTTCAAAAGATTTTCTATGCATTTTTGATGAACCTGCTTCTCTTGTCGGCAAACACAATTTGCACAATGAGAAATACCATGAATTTATGGCTATATTGTATCTATTTTTACTTTTTGCACCACCTTGACCAGTTCTCTGGAGAAGAGGTACAGACGTTTCCCAAATAAACAACGGAAATGTCAAATTAAAGCATTCATGGCTGTACTTCCCATGGGCTTTTTAAGTGACACCATAACAGCCTAGACATTTTGTGTGATAGGACAACCACCACTAGCTTTTTATAACAAAAGACTGATCTGAACAAGTACATGATTTAATTTCTTTTAGATTTGTTGGTAAAATCTGCATCTCAACAAACTCTAGCATGACAACCATCATATTCTGAGGGCTATAACGACTTAATTATGTCAGGTTTCAATCTCTGTGTCTGCCTCCCCCTTTGGCTCC